TTTCTTCTCCTCCACCTCTTCCCCCTTCTTTTCCTCTAAACCTAACAAAGAGGACTCTCCTTGGAGCTGGGACTCCTGTGCACAGCAAACCCTGGGGTTGACACATATACCCTTTCCCCCTCCTGCAGCGCTCCCTCTGATCAGAAGGTGACAGTTATCCCACTTCCTCTGATCAACTGACACAACACCGGTGAGACATTTTAACGTCTTTCCAGAAATCCTGGTTTGTTGTTCTCCAGCTCATCACTGGGTCCTGCCCCACACCCTCTCCCATCCCTGTGTCCACTCTGTCCACCAGGGTCTCTAGTCCACTGTGGGTGGGGGATGCAGTCTAACTTCGGTGAAATAGCCTCAGAGCTTCAGGGCTTCCCTTTTGTAGAGAAGAAAGAAGACCATAGGCTTAGAAACGAGCCACCCCTTCCTTCAATCTGTTGCCTCCTTCCCCAAGTTCTCATGTTCTGCCTCTAAACCCTAACCTCACACTCACCCTACATTTTCTCGTTATACCAAATCTACAGCAAACTTCAAATTCAACCTGCTCTTGTGGCTTTTAATATCCTTTTTAAGACTTTAGAGTGTCAGATCTCAAGACCCCAATTTTAAGTATTCCCCAAATCCATGAGGTCACTAACCCCCTGGCACTTGCTTCATAATTTCTCCAAGGTTCGACCCACTTTAAATGTTCCTTCACCCCAAAAATTTTACTATTTTTCTGCCATTCCCCTCTTTCTTTCCCATCACCAATCATACCATTGCTATGAGAGTTTACTTTGTACCACGTACCTGGTATAGGGAGGAACCCTACCTGAAGCCCTCTTTTCTTTGAGGTAAGGAGACTAAGCTCAGAAGTGTTCCACATTTCTTATTCCTCAAGTCCATGGGGTTGTCCTAGATCAAGTTCATTAGGTTGTCCTAGCCCCAAAAGGCTGCTGACTCCCATCCTACTAAATCCCCAGGCCCCTTCTCTTTCATTAAACTTATACGCACATCCTATGGGACCCAGGCTCTGTCTTCCTCGATGGTCATATAAAACACTGAGCATTCTCTGTGTCAATCACACTTGAGACCCCAGAGAGGTCCTGTGCTTCTAAATTAAACAGGCTTGATGGAAGATACAACGCAGGCTCTCCAGGCAGTCAAACAATCCTGTGTTCAAACCACCTGAGTACAATGAAAGACATGAATGTCATTATTAAATCTAGAGGGACAGAGCTGAAGTGGCTGTAGCAGAGGACCACTTCCCCAAAACAAATTTCTTTGGGAAGCCCCTCAAAAAATAAATAAATAAATGAATACATTTAAGAAATACAAATTCTCTCCTAGAAGAGTCACAACTCATATCAGCTGATTAAAAGCTTCAAGAAGTTGTGCCTTAAAGAATCAGGTTTGTCTTTTTTTAACTATGTAATTCCCCAAATTATTTAATCACACTCAAGAGTAAGCCCTCTAAAGGATAGCATTTTCTCTTTATATACCCTGAATCTACCGTATTTCCGGCACTTAGAACATGCCCAATAAAATACAACATGAATAGAATTATAATTTCAGATGTCTAAAGGAACCCCCTCTGCAGAGGCCTGTAATAGACTGCTCTTCAGTTCTGCTGGACTTACAAACAGGGAAGATATAGCAAAACAGAAGGAAGAATTTTCCTGCAATTAAGTTGAGTGAATCAGGAGAACGGGTTAGAAAAGTTAGCAAATCCCATTTCTTGGAACCCTCTATTTCCAGAACATAGATGCAGAAAGAAGAACAAGACGCTTTTGCTGGCCCCTTTTCTGTCTGGAGAAAGTTCAGAAAACCTTTGATTACTTAAACCACCACCAAGTTCTCCCCTAGGATTCTATCCACTCTCTCTCCTCACTTTTGAGCCTTTGGTACAGGAAGGAAACAAACTCACTCAAACTTTCCCATCAGCAATTTGAAGGAACAGGCTCAGTAAAAAATGGATGTCTGCAAACCCCAGGGTCTGTGAGAGGAGAAAGCTGAGAACTGAAATGGAAGCAGCTCACATGCACCTGGGCCTGGGCAGAGGGGCCCAGCTGCCCGGCCCGGAACAGAGGCTGTGAGCAGCAGCTTCTGCGTCGTGGGACAGCCTCTACGGACAGCTGTCCTGGCTCTGCCCCAGGTCTGGCTGGGCAACCTGCCAGCTGAGCTCTCACTTCTGCAGCTTCAGAACTCATGCCCAGCTCCAGCTCATCTGTTTGATGGACACATCCGTGTTCTTATCAGTGTTATCATGTTACATGTCTGAAGGATAATATCATTCAAAAGCAATTTTTGCTTGGCTTTGCAGTGGACAAGCGTTTTTTCTAATGAACTCACTATTTCCTTTATAATGATTTCTTACCAAAGACCTGTCACCTAATATTTGCATTTTCCATAATAAACCACAGTTACATGAGAGAAGAGAAAAATAGTGTGTGTACATGTTATAGATTTCTAGAGGCAAGAGAATCTCAGAATATATTTCTCTATTTGTCAGACGAGGAAACTGATACCGAGTAGAATTAAGTAACTATCATACAGTGAGTTTTAAAGTCTGAAGGCTCTTTCACTCTCAAGTCAGTGTTTTACTAAATTCCATAAAGCCTGTGGGAGTGCAGCCAAGAATGACAAACTGGCCATGTGACGAGGTGCTCAACTGCTAAAACTCATAGGCAGTAGAAAGCTAACTCATCGTCTCATTTAGTATAAGAATTTTCATTTTTAAGCAGGGGGGAAAAACGAACAAAATCACATAAAAACCTTCTGAAATCCTGAATTGCGTCTACACAAAAAGGGCAGTTGGTTAAGCTTTCAGGATGCATGTGAAATATATGATCAGAGAATTGCATGGTGTCAATGATATAGAGACACTTAATGTTTTCAAAAGATGGAAGAAGAGAGAGAGAGAGAGAGAGAGAGAGAGAGAGAGGAGAGAGAGACTCTACAGTTGAGGAAAAAGACAAACATAGACAAATGTCCCGGACTTCCTTCTCCTAGGAATCATATAGCCTTCACTCTTGACTTTCAGCAACTGCTTATAAAGAAGAAAACATTCTTTTCTGAAAAATAAATCAAAATAGCACTTTTTAAAGTTAACCAAAAAAACTCTAGAAATTTGCTTGTGAAATGGCATCTTTAATGAATGAGGTCATTTTGATAGATACAGATATATAGCATGCTGGAAAAAATTGAAAGCATTATATTAAAGAGCCTTAAAAAAAATGGCTATAATTTGTTGAGCATTTTCCATGAGTCATACCCTGGACTAAAAACTCTACATTCCTTTATTCTATAGCTTTCAACCCCTCCTTTAGGTAGATTATCCCCATTTTGCAAATAAGGAAGTTGAGGCCTGGATATGTTAATTAATGTGTCGGGGACTACAAAGCTACCTAGTTCCAGAGCCTGACTCCGAAGCCTGCTCTCCTAAACGTAAACCTACCAGTATTCATTAACACATTGGTATTTTGGGCAAGACAATCATTCCTTATGCTGAACAGTCCTGTGCCTTCAAAGACATTCAGCATCTCTGGTCCTCAGGCACTAAATAGCAGCAGCAGCTTCCTATCACTCTGAAGATGAAAATGTCCTCACATATGTACAAACTCCCTCTAGAGGTAGTGCTCTCCCTATCTCCAACACATTGAAAAGAGCTGTTAAGGAAAATATTGAATTTCAGAAACTTAGGGTTAAAAAGAATTTTAAGTGTTCCATTAGTTTAATTTTTGTAGTTAATTTGTCCAGAAAATATATGTGTGTGTGTGTGTGTGTGTGTGTGTGTGTGTGTGTACATACCTATACTAGAAAATATGTTAGGCCTTTTCATCCCTACATGTAAATGAATGTGCTATATTTGTGTTTGTAGAGAATTATGATTTTACTCATTCTTGAAGAAAACAATGTTTAGAGAACTTAATTTGCTGAGCAAGAATTTTATTTCAGTTTCTTTCCACCATTTTATAACTATACTATGGCTATCTAATGAAGTTATCCCAGTCACAATTGGAGATGGAATTTGGGGACATGGTAAAAAGAGATCCAACTGTAGTTATAGTCAAAAAATTATAAGTAAAAGAGTGAATGAACATGTAAAAATCAGTCACATTTAGCATATTAGAGGTGTATCTTGTACAATCAATATTGTGGTAAATATTTGTAAATAAATGATACAGGATAGGACACGAAATAGGATCAGGAAAGAGAGATACAAGATAGCTGGAATGGAGCAACATCAAAAGAAGAAGAACTCGTATTAGCCAATATTGGAGAAGTGGGGAGCGGGACGAGCCACCATTCTGAATGCTGGTCAGGGTGAAAGTGAGGATGAGGGAAACCTTTCAGAGTTTAATAAGGCTTCTTGACACCGAAAGAAAATACATTGAAGACATCTCCAGAATGTGATGGATTTTTAAAAATCCAGGTTTAAAAACCCCTTGGAAAAACAATCATTTGTCTTTTAAAAAAATGAAACCTTTGAAGTGGTTTGAACATAAAAACAAAGTGCTAAAAAGTCAACTCAGAATAAAAGTGGTTTACGATGGTATGCAGTATTTGAAAACAAGCTGCCGGGGAATTACCAGAGTGTGAAAGAATTATAAAAACAGATCCATTTTGGCTTAGAGCCCTCTCCAATGTGTGATAAGGCTGTAAGCATCTTCTCTGAGATAAATGTAAGTTAATTTTCTAGAGAGAGCTTTACCATCATTTTTAGACACCTCCTCTCCTGGAGACAGAAAGTTTTATTTGCAGCAGTGAAAGTTCTGTGGAAGGAAGACTTTCCTATACGCACATCGTCAAATGGGCTGCACCTTTCCCTTAATAGGAAAAGATCTCTTGTTGTTTTGGAAAGACCAAGGCAGCTCTCTGACGGGAAGGGCTCACCAGTGGTGAGACTGGTGCCTTCAGATACTTTGTTCTTCAGTCTCCTGAGCTAGAGTGAAGGATGTGGCTGGGGTAGGAGGCGGGGACTACGCATTTGTGTATGTGTTTTCTCATTTCCGCTTCCCCTTTCAAGCTTGCAGCAGCAGTTTAATGAGGATAGAGAGAAAGGTACAATATGCAATATGATATTTTCTCACTGTCCTCACTTCAATCCCGATGCCTGGGAAGGGCCTGGCCCAGCTTTGATAACTGCTTTACCTCAAACTCAGCTCTCTCCCAGCAAACTGGTGAGTACAATTCCACCTCAATTTTAAGGCTATACTGATTTAGAGTGGTGTTGGGAGATAGGAGAAAACAGATCAGAGAAAAATCAGGCTCTGGAGAAAAGGGAAAAGTCAGGAGCATACCTCCCACACCCCTGACTTCAACTTCAAAAAGTGCATCTTTGTGCCTCTCAGAGTACTTTCTTATTTCCTTCCTATTACTCTTTCTGGGGTCACAAAACATGGGTTCCTTTGACAGCCTGAATTAATAATTTAGGAAGTTTTTACCTTTCTCACCTGAGAAGCTCCTCTCTATGTCTTGCTGTACTGACTTTTGCTGTAAATTCGATCTGATTCTAACTCTGAAACGTTCTTCAGGAGAAAAGTTCCTTAGCTTCATTGCAGGTCCTGTTCTAGTGTCCATAACTCTCACTACTGGAACTACCTCACCTACATCAATTTTTCTTTTTGACAAGCCATAGAACAAAACCGTTGAGATAAACTACAGCGAGATATATTGGGATTACATATGAAGAGTTTACACAACTGGATGACCTCAGGCCAAATTAACTGGAAGGCTCAAGACAGATAATTACCTCTCAGGGTTGGTTTTCAGGCTGTACATCTCAGAGATAGGTAGATGTTGACCACTCAATGACCTACATAATCCTGGGGGGAAGGGGGATGGATTCTTGCCCCTCCAACATCCTTGTCATAGTGGTAGCCAAGCTATGCATGTCACCAACTACATGAGTTTTAGGGAGGGTAGAGGAGTGGAAAGATCTACTACGCTGGGGTTTTCCCATGCATCTGCTGGGCTACTGAGCTCACCAGTGGGTGGAGGAGAAGAGGTAGGTCCCCAGTGCAAAACAAGGACAAGATAAAAGAGCCCCAGAGAAATGGCTTGATAAAACCACGAGGATTTGGAAAAGATACCCAGAGAAGTACTAGTGACTCTGTCTACCACAAATGGCCCAGTAGAGCGGCCATTTCTAGACAAAACATGGCAGTGCCGAGGACAGGAGGTTGGAGGTTGGAAGCTTTCAACTCGTGTCCAAGCTTCAGATTTAACAGTTATTAGGCTTGAGTGATTAGAGCTAAAGATCTGGTGTGATTCTCCTACAACATGAATTATTACTAAGAAGATGGTAAGCCAGATTTATGATCTATCTCTACATATTACCAAAGATAAGCTGAAGATATAACAAAGGGAGCAGAAAGAGATCTAACAAATGATTTTTTATTCACGAGCACCCCAGAAAATTTAGAAACTCTTTCAAACTATACTAAGAACACTTTCTTATAACTCCTTTGGTCCTCTGAAAGTTAGATGGACTCCTGCGCTATGTTGTGGTCACAGAGACTCAACACAGTCATCTTGAGTTCAAGGTTTATGATTCGTATTCTAACAGAGAGTTGAGAAGAAGTATGATCCCAGCTGAGATCACAATTCACAAGGTCCACTAGGCTACAGAGAAGAAGATCACATATTTATTTCCGGTTGATAACTGACAACTGTGCTGTTTTCCACCTAAAGGACAATACCAAAGTGAGTCTTCTGATACCCACTGTATTTTGTGCTGTGCCTACATCCAGGCCTAATGCGGAGAGGTTTGAACACAGATTTTGAGGAGAAGGAGAGAAGGTTCAGATATTGTGAAAGAAAAAGAGAGAAGAATAAAAATAAGTACATGAGAGAAAGAGACTCATTACCAAGGAAATAGAACTAAAGCATTACAGATATGAACTCACAGAACTAACTTGATGATTAAGAAATCTGCACATTCTCCCTCCTGTCTCTAGAATGAGCTATCTGTCTGTAATTCAGTCCAGATGAAATGATGTTTCTTATTGTTGGTGTCTTTAGAGACCATCCAGATGAAAAAAAATTAAGTGTCTCCTGACCATGAGAGCACAGGATGATTTTTTTTCCAAATATACAACTTGAATGTTTCCCGTAGCAGTTTATAAGCCTTGCATAAAAATCCACATCAGGGAGGTGGAAGAAAGGAAAGTAGGGAAGAAAGGAAAGGAGAGAAAAAGAGGTCTTAGACGGTCTTCTTTCAGTATTTATTCAGCTAAACTTATTTTGGGAGAGAGGGGATTAAAAAAGAGGGGGAAAGAGTTACATTGGTGAATTGGCATTTTTTTGGCATT